CTGAAGAATCTCAGTGCAGTGCATGAACTCTGTTGCACCGGCGAGGATCCTGAAATACTTTGGGTATATTTTCAACTCCAAATGTTGTCCGGTCATTTTTTTTCTATTTCTAACTGCCAAGGGATTTTTTTTTTTACTTGCGTAACTCAGTATCGTCCAGTCTTACTACCCAGAGACCAAGGGAAATTACCAGAAGTCCACATGACAAAATATCAGCCTTCACTGTGATTTGAACCCGTGAGCTCCAGCACTTGAGATGGATGCCATATCTTGAGACCACTCAGCTGTAAATCTGTCTTCCAGCCAGAGGATTTAGGGTTGTATGGCTACTGCTGTAGCCACATACTGTGCAGGTTTCGCCCATGACAGAAGAAATCCATAAATTTACCAAGAACTCAAACCTAGGTCTCCCGCATGACAGCTCTGCATTCTTAGCCGTTTGGCCAGCTGCTCCTCATAGCACAAGCACCTCAAAGTTTCTTCATTTATTCACTTTTACAGAATTATGTAAGTTTACCTAATAACTCATCAAAGTTCCTTGTGGACATTCATTTTTCAAGGTACAGTGGAAGGTAAGTAGTGAAGAGACGTACAAGAGAAAGCCTCATATATGAAAGAGAGTGGTTTACAGCACTGCCATATTTATATATATTGAATGCTAACATTAGAGAGAGAGTTGGAGTAAGAATGTGCCTGAATGAATAGAGAATGAAGTGGTTTGGCCATCTAGGAGGAATGAAGTCTAACCAAACTGTTTATGCAACATTCTACAGCAGAAACATTTGGGTGGAAGGCAAAAGTAAGACCAAGGAAGAGATGGACAGACAGATGGCGTAGCTGAATCTTTAAAACAGATGAAAAAAAACCAAAATTCAAGCCACCTGAGAAGAACACACAAAATACAGTAATAGTCTGACGCTAAAAGAAGACGATACACGTTAAACATAGAGTTGTGAAGAATTCTGCATAATGGCATAAATTTGAGGCTCAAGCAAGATACAGAGGAGGTGAAGAAACAGTTGGTGTGACTTAGGCTGCATGCAGTCATGTGACCTAGGCTGCACTCTCACATAGGTGGGTTAGGGTTAGGCCCAGTTCTAGATGTTTTGGGGTAGTTAAAGGTATCATCAGAAAGCCAGGAAACCTGCTCTTACAACCCTCGAAAATATTGGACTGTCCTGTGACATCGTCCTGGGGGTGGAGATATCGGGGAAAACACTGAAACTTTTTATTAACACATTACACGATCTTATGAGTTTAGACCCCAGCTTGTGCCCTGCCCTCACTGTCCTAGGGCACGTATTGGACTTATAAGTCACTTCCGGACTCCGAAACATTCAACTGCAGTTTCATGACGGATGAAAGAAAGAGCGGTCCTCATCACTTATGATGGACGAACAAACAAAAAAAGACCCCAGCTAAAAGAAAAACCCAATTCAGGATCATGCAACTTTAGTGTAAACCGGCAATGTTAGATCCATAAATGTACAGAAGAAAGACAGCCTCCAAAGATATCACTTGGAAACTCTGCTTTCAAAACTGTCAGTTAAGAGAACAGGGTCAAGGACACTTTTGGTGCATCTGGCATACAGTGCTGGACTTCTGTTTGTTTATATATAGAGACCAATCAGCATTCCAAAGGTGATGTGATTAACATAAGGTCAGCCATGTTTACTTCCCAGAACATTACTTAGTACCCCCCTAAAACTGTCATGGCTGCATCAATCAATACTAGTAAGACAAGATGGCCATTAAAGGCAGAATTTTTTAGAGGCAAGCAACTGTACTTTAACACCGTCACCACGAGAAGGTTGAATCTAGTCACTTCTGTATATGTAGATAAATCGCCGCGGCTGCAGTGACCTCTTCTCGAAAAGCAGTTAAATTTCATTGGTTCTATGAGCACCTGTGCAGTGTTTAATAGGCCAGGATATATATATATATATAGTAGCTAAAAATAGCATTCAGATTAGTTACCTTATTACCCTAAATTAATTTTTTGTAAAGCCAAATAGATGTCAAACTGACAGAGGTCATTAGGGTCACTGCATGAGTCATCTGATAGATATTCTTTCAAAGTCGAATGGAAGTGTATTCCATTCAATGCTTCACTCTGTGTTTACACATTACCTTCTTCATATTTCTACATTTATTTTTTTATAAATATTTTTATTTTAAATGATTTTTCCGGAAAATTGCTATGGGGTCATGACCCTATTATTATGTTTTTTCCAGCATTCATGGGGCAAAAGAGTTACTGTAATTGTTAAACAAATCAATAAACAAATGGTAGAAAGCCTCCAAATATAAAATGTAAGGGCACGCAACTTTATTATTAACTGGTGATGTGACTTCAATAGATAAACACAAGAAACATAACCACTGGAAGGTATAATTTCAGATGCAGGCAACTTCATGATGTGAATTCAAAAAAATACACAGAAGAACCACCAAAGGCAGAAATTTAAGGTAAGGCTCTATCTACTGGCGATGTTAATCTAATACATAAACAGAAGAAACATAACTAATGAAGGCTGAACTTTAGAGGTAGGCAACTTTATTATAAACTGTTAATGTGCAAATACACGGATGAAAAGATGGGAACTAAAGGCAGAAATTAAAGGGTTGTCAGCGTTACTAGCAAATCTATCAATATTAGATCAATAAATATTCAGATGAAACACACCTGGCTATTTCACCACAGAGGGGACAAACACTGTGGTTACATAGTCGAAACAATAATTTCAGAACAAAGACATGCATGAATCATTATTATACAGTATCATGTATAGTGCCATCTTCAGACAGGCGGTCTGTTCATAATGTACAACATCAAAATCCATATTCTTAATTTGCTCATTTTAGGGGTGGTTTATTTATGGCATCTTAACCCAGGCGGGTCTTGCTAGTCACACTTGCCACTGCCCCGGTCTGTGAGTACGATGCCCTCTCATACATAGCACACTATAAGACTATCGTCTGGAAACGCAGAAAGGTGCCAACCATTTACTGTAATTATTTCAACTGATATTTTTTTTTTCCTCAAAAAAAATTTTTTTTTTTAAATAAGGAAATTATGAAGAAGAGAAAAAAAGTACAGGATCTTGTTTTTCAGCAAGAAAAGCGCTAGATAGACCCCTCATAGAAATAGTTTATGTGAAGTCTCCTGTGTGTTACCGGAGGCCATAAGGAAAGATAAAAACAGTAGCAGTGTAACCTAGCAAGAGTGTTAAAGACATGACTAGTTTCATGAATCTAGCCACCTCCTCTCTTTCAAATAGTCAGCTACAAAATCCAACCAGTTATGAATAAATCTACAAATCCCTGTCTGGGTTTTCAGGGACCCATTTTGGAGTTGACAAAAAAAGGATTGACCCGCTAACCCCCGCCCCCCTCTCAACAAGTAAGAGTGAACTAATTAGTTGTATTTCCATCAAAGTCGAAGTGCATCTGCCTGAGAGACAAGGAACCAACAGTCTGCTTACAAACAAACCAGACCTTTTAAAAAGATGTGTAGGCAAAACTCAAGCTCTGGAACCAGACTTAAGTCCAGAAGTGGACGAACAACCAGAACATTCTGCCAGAGTTTACAACCGGTGAACATAAAGAAAAAATCTACAAAAGGTTTGGTGCGCACTAACTGAGCCCTATGTCCCACTGACAGAAGAAATGCAGAATACAGCCAGATGGGTGAAATCATGTGCACTTCACAGCAGTTATGGCAATATCTACTGTGTTACTTACAGAGAGGAGAATCTCTGGCACATGCAAAACACAACCCAAGAAGAGCAAGAGTAACTTACAAACCACAGCCAGAACAGAAATCTGCACAGGTCATGGCTATCAAACAGCTTTCTAACCAAATTATCTCTAAGGGGGGAAAAACAGGGTCTTACTCATGCATCTAGCAACTAAATCTGTGCAAACTATAACACACACACAAAAAACCATAATGTGTAACAGCGGACTACAACAGGGTAACGTGTTTAAGTGTGAATGAAGACAACAAACAAGTTTCATGGAGACAACAGACAAGCGTTAATGGCAATGCTGACTTTATTGATCATGTACTTCCATTATCATCTGGCTTGTAGAATTGTGAATCTCCTCTAAGACATGTACTGGTAATCTCTTTAACCGGCAACAAACACCTTCAGAAGGCAGGTAACTCCATCTTCTAAGATAGGTACTTGACCCCCCTGAGATAGGTACTGCTACTTTGTGAGACAGGCACAAATACCTTCTAAGACAGGCACTTATACCATCTAAGGCAGATACTGATACTTTTGAAGACAGGTACTACTATCTGAGACAGGTACAAGCACATTCTCAAATAAGTACTTATACCTTTTGACAGGTACAAACACCTACTAAGACAGGTACAAATACCTTCTAAGATAGGTTCAAATACCTTCTAAGACAGGTACAAGCTGAAATGCCCCTGCAGTAACATTGTCTTAAAATATTCACATGATTGTAAAAGACTTGTTAAAGATCTCAGAACTACAATGACATCAAAATATTTGGTGATCATTTTCATAAACCTAAAATAATGAAACAATGTGTCCATATTTAAGAGAATCTATTTCAATAACACCTCTCTCTCCCTCACCCACACACACATTTTTCTTCTTTACTTTCTAAACAAATGCAACGTATAAGACAGATCCCTGAACTAAATTAATTCTAAATAAAGCCGGATGAAAAAAATGAAAACTGAAGGAATAACCGAGATGGAAGTCTGGAGAGGAGAAATGAGGACATACATTTGCATCAGCCTTTAACACATATGACAGGAACAGTGTTGCACCAATAGCAGGTCTACCCAGAGCTCTTCTATTAAACCCTGACACACCACCACCAATGCTGACATCATCCTCCTCTTCCTCCTCGTAGGCGTATGCTGTTGTTTTTTGCTTTTTTATTTCTTTTCTACAAATCTGCCGACAGGCTCTTCTTATCCAGACAGTCTGTATTTTGAGCAGGGTGGAGAACAAGGTTCAGGCAACATATGTGTAGATTTTTCTGTAAAAGAAACAACATATGTAGTTTTTTTTTTTGTATGTAAAGGAAACAACATATGTGAAGATTTTTCTGTAAAAGAAACAACATATGTAGATTTTTTTGTATGTAAAGGAAACATATGTGTAGCTTTTTCTGTAAAAGAAACAAAATACGTAGATTTTTTGTATGTGAAGGAAACAACATATGTGTGGATTTTTCTGTAGAAACAACATATGTGTAGACTTTCTGTAAAGGAAACAACATATGTGTAGATTTTTTGGCAAAGGAAACATACGTGTAGACTTGTCTGTAAAGGAAACAAAATATATGTAGATTTTTTTTTGGGAAAGAAAACCACATGTGTGTAGATTTCTCTTTAACCAAAAAATGTGTACATTTTTCTGTATAGAAAACAACATATGTGTATATTTTTCTGCAAAGGAAACAAACATATGTGTAGATTATCTTTAAAGATAAGAATATATGTGTATTGTCAGTAAAGAAAACAATATGTGTGTAGATGTTTTGTAAAGGAAACAACATTTGTGTGGATGCTTATCTAAAGGAAACAACGTATGTGCAGATTTTTCTGTAAAGAAAACAACATGTGTGTAAATTTGTCCATAAAGGAAACAACATAAGTGTGAATGTTTCTATAAATGCAACAACATGAGTGTGAATATTTCTATAAGGGAATAAACATATGTGTGGAACTTTGTATAAAGAAAACAACACATGTGTGGATTTTTCTGTAAAGAAAAAGTAGATATTTTTTTAAGGTGCAAATTGTTCTGTAAACAAGACAATACATGTGTAGATATTTCTGTATGTAAAACAAATTTGTAGATTTTTCTGTGAAGAGAAAATCAATCTGGATGCGAATGCAAACTCACGGCTACCATTTATTGTCTGAGGACTGCATATCTAGTGCTTGGCCCCAACTAAGGAGGTTAGAAATTAATTCATTAATTTTTGCAACCAATGAATATGTCCCACGTATCTTACCTGTCTTCTGCTGCTCTAGCTAGGTATTCCCTCTCTATTAAGCCCTCGATGCGTTTCTTGATGACGACGGGGCTAGGCAAGAAGCGTGGTTTGAGCATCTCTGTACACTGTGTGGAGATAATTAACACATGTTCAAGAAGATGCAAAATACTTATGAAAACAAAATGGAATGTCAGGAGGGCCCATATACATTTAAAAGAAAATAATAAAGAGGCGGGGGAAGAGGGCAATCATTGCAAATACTATTGTAAGGAGTGAGAAATGACATCAGAGTCAAGAGTCAAGATAGTCCAGAGATGTGTCAACTGTTTTTGCTTGCATTCTAAGACGATCACCAGAGTCAGCGCCGGAGGTCTTTGTTTTCCATCTCAGATGATCATCAGAGTTGGTCTTAGTAAAGACCTTTTTTCCCTAGGAAAGAACCCTGGTTCGATATGCACTCTCAACATGTTTAAGAATCTTCCCATTTACTTGGATGCTACGTTTTTTTCTGTATCGCTAGGTGCATTATTTTCTGTCTCATTTGGTGAGGACTCAATCCCTTCCACAGTGCGGCTCTTGCACCATTTTCGAAAAGCAAGAAGGTTTTTTTTTTAAGGCACAGGGAGAAACCAAATCTGGTGTGTCAAGTAAAACACTTTTACTGACCACAATGCTGCATTGATACATCTTGTTACTGCAACAAATGTAACTGCCAAATGGGCTGGGCTCAAATTCTGTTTTTATTTCCCAGTGGCTAGGCCAGGAGGCCTGAGAAGGAGCTTGCCTCTAACAATACACAACTGTTATTAGCCTTTCCTGCTGCCAGCTGTGGCTTAGGCATTGTGCTTCGTAATTCCAAGATGTCGGGTTCAATTCCAGCTGCAGATGATTTGGCAGCAGATCGCCTTGCATTGGTTTCAACAGTGGTTTGAAAGCTGATCGTTCAGTGAGCAATGACTAGTGAATGTGAAATCACAACACCCAAGCAATGCCCAGGTTGGTTCTGTAACATACTGTAAAGACATGCAACTAACTTTCAAAATTAACCTTTCCTGTGCCTCTTCTTACACTCCAGGTCATGTGGCTCTTCTTACACTCCAGGTCATGTGGCTCTTCTTACATTCCAGGTCATGTGTCTCTTCTTACACTCCAGGTCAAGTGGCTCTTCTTTCACTCCAGGTCATGTGGCTCTTCTTACACTCCAGGTCACGTGGCTCTTCTTACACTCCAGGTCACGTGGCTCTTCTTATACTCTAGGGCATGTGGCGCTTCTTACCTTTCAGGTCACGTGGCTCTTCTTACACTCCAGGTTATGTGGCTCTTCTTACACTCCAGGTCTCACACTGAGCCTAAAGAATTATGTGCACACTAAGATTCCAGCTGCGGGCCTTGCGCCTTGGGTTGTTGTCGACAGTGGTATCAAAAAGCCAACCGTCCAGAAAGCAATGCCAACTACTGGACGTTAACTTGCCTAGAAAAACCACAATGCAACGTCCTGTAAAGGATACGCAACTTCCAACAGTCAGATAGGGATACAACATTTCTAAACACACAGCTATCAATCTCTCCCTTACAAACATGCTCACCTCAGCAACTAAAGTGTTGTGCTGCAACTTCTTTCTTGCCTTCATTATTCTCACAAGGGCTGCCTCTATTGTGGAATCAGTTAAGGAAAAGAACAAACTGGGCAACCAAGGAATTCACGAAAGCTTTTAACGTTTATAATACTTCAAAATACTACGACAAGTAAATCTCACTGAACTGCAGTAAAGCTGTAAAAATGAAGTGAATAAAATAACAAACACAGAAAGTAAATATGTCACAAAGATAAATGGATGTTGCCGCTACAAAGTCTTCACCAGTAAACAAAAATAATAAAAAAAGACTAATATCTATTCTTTCATACTGTTTTCTAAAGCATATACAATTTTTTTATCTATTTCTCAATTATTTCCCAAAATTAACACCTTTAAGACGAGATGTCTGAGGAAAGTCACCAACTTAACATTCTGAGACTAAAGTGAAAAAATGTATCAGTTTGTGTGAACAACACATTGCACTAAATTCACAGAGAAAGAGAAGATCAAACTGTATGGTTATGCCATAAGAATGCAGTCACAACCACTACCACCACAGACATTACACATACAAAGAACTGATGGAAGACCAGGTGTAAAGGGCAAAGATGCATTTGAGGCATTGCATATACACACAGACAAACAATGACCAGTGCCACCCACTGGATGGCAAAACTTTTCCCACAAATGCAAAAGTCAAAGCTGATGATGAATAATTTCCAAGAATACTTTCATCAGCATGCCTCTGCCTTGCCAGAGACTGTATATTTCCATCCTAAAGTAGGTGAGTAAACTCAAGCCCTTCCTTTGCCTCTTGACACTAAACCATCTGTTTAAATAATCACATACTTTGAGCGAGCAATATCTTGAATTAATTGCTGAATTTCCACCTCTGTGACACCTGTTGGCCACTCTCTGCACTCCCAGCTCAATGTGATTATGACTCTACACAAATCTGACTGTTCCACTGGCATTCTGACCCAGTCCTCTTCTCCTGTTTGATTGTGTCTTCTGCCTGAGCCATCCATGACTTTCCTCTTATCAGCTGCTGACCCTTAACTGCGTCCAGAGCTTTGTGCAAAGGGTGGTCTGTGTCTGCAGCTGCCCTGAGATATGACTTCACCTGCAGCACCTTCAGCCTACCTGCAACAGTCAGTAAACCAAGGATGTATCGCAAGCACACCACCAGGGTATCTCTGGTACAACCCCGAGTAATCAACAAGTATACAGTCACAAATAACCAAACACGGATTAATCCACAAAAATACAGTCACAAAAGGATATTCATGTTTCCTGTCCTCATCGACTTTATTCCTGGTTTCTCTTCTCTCAGGTTCAGCCTCTCCTTTATTGGATGCAACTATAAAAAATTTAAAAAAAAAATATAACACAACATATCCTCATGCTATTGTTCTCAATTGTTGTCTTCCTCTATATATATTTTTAAAACGTACATATACATTTTGCCATTTAAACAACAAGGTATTTTTCATCAAATAACACACACAAATTCAGACAAGGTCATTACTATCATACACCATTCAATCAATTCGGCAAGAAAGGCCATTACCATCAGATAACATTTAAACATTAAGACAAGAAAGGCCATTACCATCAGATAACATTTAAACATTTAGACAAGAAAGGTCATTACCATCAGATAACATTCAAACATTTAGACAAGAAAGGTCATTACCATCAGATAACATTCAAACATTTAGACAAGAAAGGCCATTACCATCAGATAACATTTAAACATTTAGACAAGAAAGGTCATTACCATCAGATAACATTTAAACATTTAGACAAGAATGGCCATTACCATCAGATAACATTTAAACATTTAGACAAGAAAGGTCACTACCATCAGATAACATTTAAACATTTAGACAAGAAAGGCCATTACCATCAGATAACATTGAAACATTTAGACAAGAAAGGTCATTACCATCAGATAACATTCAAACATTTAGATAAGAAAGGTCATTGTATCAGACAACATAGAAATATTCAGACAACAAGGTCATTACCATTAGCAATTAGTGAGGAAATCATAACAGTATTTCACACACAAATACAGTTTATATCAAACAAACAAATGAACAAACTTTATTTTAAAATGGTTAAGAATTTAAGATCACTAGATTCTAATGAAACAAAAGTTAGGCAATAATGTCATTTCATGTCATGCCATATCATCATCATGTGCTCTGTCAATTGGCGTTGGTGCTCATGCGTCTCCACAGATCACGATCCTTGGTTGCCTGGAACAGCTGTCATGATGATATCCCTCCATGCCATAGTTTCAGCCCATCCAGCATCATCTCTCTTGGTCTGCCTCTACCCCTCTTTTCACTGATTTTTCCAGTTGTCATGATGTTCTCCAATGTCTCTCTTCTCGTTATGTGACCAAAGAACAGTGTCTGTCTCTTTCTTATTGTTGTATCTAGAGATCTACTTTTATTAGCCTCAATCATTGTTAGTTACTCTGGCCGTCCAAGGTATTCGTAACATTCGTCTCAGAAACCACAGTTCATTAACACAATGTTATTATCATCAGACACGATGTCAATATTTTAATAAAACAATTTTTAAAACAAATGGACAAGCATAATTTGACACACACATGCACACAAAACTTACCCATTTGGATTTTTACACGCACCAACTTTGAAGAAAACTGGTCATTCACAGAGAAAATATGAGAGGCCTCTGCAACAAACAAACCAAAAAGACAAATGATGATATAGGTCCTCCAAATTTTTTTTTTTTTCAAAACATTGCACACCCGCACATGCACACGCCCACAAAATAAGACACATTACAATACAGGAAAGGCCAATTATATGTTTAAGACACTGGAATTGGGGTGGGAGGGTGAAAGGGTACAAATGGTGATAAAGAACCTTTCCATTATCAGTTCAGGACATTAGGGAGGAAGGGGGGAGATAGACCATTATATGTCAGATGACAGAGATGTAAAAACTGTATACACAAGGGAGATGAATGGTTGTAGACCACGAGGCAGACCAAGAAGAAGATGGAGAGATGATGTCCAGACAGACCTGCAAACACTTGGTGTCACCAACTAGAAAAAGAAGGGCAATCAGAGAGATAAATGTAGGTGGGTGTTATCTGCAGCAATGAACCTCAAGGGCTTAGAATGCTGCAGAAGAAGAAGATTATATGTTCAAGACAAAGATGGTTTTTACAATCAATCTGTAATGCATGCAATGAGAGACACTTTCTCAGTACTGTTACACAATTTATATACATACTGCTGCTCTAAAGCAAAAACAGTTTTATACAAAGAGTGTTTGAGTAAAAACTGGGGATGCAGAGCTGCAGCAAACCATGGGGTGCATCAGGACTCTTACCAATTCAAGACCTATGTAGACGTCTCTCTGGTCATCCTACAAACAGGTTCCCAGCGGTAAGCCTGGCCAGCATAGTTAGGATTGTTCCTTTACAGTGCATCTGCCTGAGAAACAAGGAATCAACAGCCTGCACACAAAGAAGCCACATCTGTGTTGTTGTTTACAGCTCATCATCATCATCATGTAGCAGGTCCTTTGCAGAACGTCACTCTCATCACAGTCTGCCTGAAAGAAACTCGGTCTCTCGCCAGTTCTCCAGCCTCATGCACTTTCACTCTCAAGGAGTCACTTATATCCTGTGCCCATCTTCGTGTCAGTCGGCCCCTGCCCCTCCTTCCTTGTACCATGCCTTCTGCTTTAATTTTTTCCAATCCGTTGTGGTGCTTGATATGACCAAAATATTTCAGCTTTCGAGACAGGATGCTGTTATTAGCCAATCTTCCTTGATGTTCAGATCTTTTAAGATGTCAATATTTCTCATCTTCTTCGTCCAAGATATTCTGAGAATCTTTCTATAGCATTTCAGCTCAAAAGCCTCTATTCTCTTTCTTAAGGACTGAGAGATAGTCCACGACTCACATCCGTATGTAGCCACAGGGAAGATGCATGCTCTCAAAATTCGAATTTTCATCTCCTTGCTGGTGCTTAACCATAGACTTTTAAGGCTGTTCAATCTTTGCAATGCTATGGCCATCCTCCTTTTAATTTCTGTCGAACAGTCTCTATTGTTGTTTATTATAGAGCCTAGATATTCAAAGTTTGTGACATTTTCAATATCTTCGTCTGTTTACAGCTAGGTTATTAATTAGTCATCTCTAATGACACTGTCTCTACTGGGGCACCGGATCTTTGTATTTATTTATTTTTTTAAAATCAGGTACAGAACCCATACAGGGAGTTCCCTTTACAGCCCTAAATAAAGTGAAATCACCACAATTACCTCATACAAATATTTTGTAAATTGCTTAACAAAGAAAAATAAATAAAACCTCAAACTTACCAATGTCTTTTGTTTTTGGTTCTTTCTGCAATATTCTTTGTGATATTTTACCCACGGCTAATGACTGAAGAGCTCGTGTAAGTTCACGTTCTGGCATATCTGTTTCATTTTTCATTTCCTGTAGATTGACAACAAATTCCTCATATCAGTGAACCCCTCATGCGCACATATGTTACTACCAGCATTCACAGATAAAGGTTCTGTTGCTGGGGTGTCAAATGTTATATTTTGACAAATACTAGGTCACAGCATAAGGTAGGTTCCCTGTTTTTCCCCCTCCAATATCTAGGTTCTTTTACTTCTGTGTTTGACCTTAAAACAGAAAACTGGCACATTAAATTGTGGTTTACTGCTCAGCAGCAATATTTGCATCTTTTAGCCCAAAACATCCAATTTCAGCAGACTCTCGATAGTAACTTTTTACTACATGCTTGTTGTGGGTCAGTTGCGTATCCTTTACAGGACGTTGCAGAACCAACCCCAGTATTTTTTGGCTGTTGTGGTTTTTCTAGGCGTATTTTAAGTTCAGTAGTTTACCACTGCTTTCTGAATGACCACTCTCAGTACCTCTGTTGAAACCAATGCAAGATAAATTGTCCACAGCTGGGATTGAACCCAGCATCCCAGGAATTACAAAGCATATTCGCATAGCCCAAGCCACAGATGTTGACCTGTCTGGGCCAGCCAGACTATTTTCTTCCCTCTTTAACTCTTTCAGTTCCATGCAACATGTGATCTGTTATTACACATGGATCCCAACCATCGTGTCATGTGTTCAGCCACATGTTAATACTGGTCAAAGCACATTAAAGAAATCTGGTTACTTTCACTTTGGCTACTTTGACTGTGTAAGTTGCCAATTTCAAAATTGTGCATTTGTGACTTTTCATAGTGGCTATTAATTTCCTTAGGCATTTGCTGCGAGAACCCTTTGGGATTGACAAATTAACAGATCCCTCAAAAGCACACAGAGAGAGTACTGGTATAACAGTCTTGTTACTAGTGGTTTAGTGGGGTTGGAACTTGGATCACTGTGTTGATAAGTAGGTGACTTAAAGTCAGAGGATCAACTTCACTGCACTGGGTTATATCCCGTATGACTCTCTTGGCAGATTGTTCTTGATGCTTTCCTTACACCGTTTGCAGTCGTCCTCCCTTAATCTGTGTGTATTATAATTCATAAATCTGGTTCTCTGTGGCAGCTGGTACCTGGGCATTCTTCTCAGATGGCCAAACCATTTCACCTTTAAACATTAAGGTACATTATTCTACTTCTTATTGTGATCACTCTCTGAATTATACCTACAGATGAGTTTTTGAGATAAAATAGACTGCATCTGAAGTTTCCATTTAGATACACTAAGGACATGAATCAAAATTGGCTCTCTATGCAAGCTGGTGTAAGGAACATTCTTGCAAGATAGCCAAACCATTTCATCTTGAAAAATTTAGGTACATAAAGAACATGAATAAGAAGTGGCAGCTGGGGCAAGAGCACTCTTATCAGATGGGCAAACCATTTTGTCTTGAAACAATAAGGTACATAAAGGTCATCAATAAGAACTGGCTTTGTGTGGCAACTGGTGCTATAAGGACTTTCTCGACAGAGGGTCAAATCATTTTACTATGACAGGCTTAAAGTACATAAAGAACATCATGGCCCATGCCAAACACAGACTTCATTGTTAATGCATACAGCAATAAATAAAGATTCTAAGAATTTATTGTGTGAAAATGGCATAACACACAATTTCATACTGGTGAAAGAAGAAAGTAACAGGCAGTTGGGAACGAAGCACGGAGAAAGACAATCCAAAAAAAGATTCGGTCGCAGCAGATAATATATGGCTGATACCACATAGGTGGTCATCCAGCCCAATGTACTAGTAGTTATTAAGTAAACATGGAAGTTGTTTCCGTTTTATTAATGAATGTCTGATAGTGTAATATGGTATTAAAGTAATTAGGAGTAGAATGATGACCACTTTTGCAACTACTTTAACTGTAAAACTGTAGTGTTGTGAGGCAGACTGTTGTTCATGTGGTCACCAGAGTATCAACTGCAGAACTGCTACTGTCTGAACGTTACAATGAAGTACTATCTAGCAACACTCATACAGGTAAATAATTTACAAGATCAGGGTGTTAGGGAGACAAGACGAGCTGACACAAGTTACAACCAAGCGATCTCTACATATACCTGTTAGATCGCCCCACCCCTATACCATGTGTCCGCTCGCTCCCTGACAGAGAACATCAGCAAGAACTCACCTCAAATGTCCATTTATCCCTGAGGTTGAACAAAACCAGGACGCACATCTGGTAAGTAGACACCTGGAGGATGTGCTTCCTGATCCCCTTAGCTGAGCTGGCCGGACCACTGTCTGCATCGTCACGCTTGGCTCCAGCAAAACTGGCATGCAAATCTGCAGAGCCCAAGTGTGGTTGCAAAGTCAGCTGTCGACCACTGTGCTTGCTGAGGTAAAACCTAGGAAAGATTCAATCTAGTTACAAATGAACTGTTTAAACTTAATAACATCCTACATAAGTCATATGACTTGATATTAAATAAATGCCAATAAAAAGCAGATGACACGAACTATGGAAACAACACAATACAATAAATGGCAACATTCATGAACAAAATCAAAAATAATTTAATGTAATTCCTTTTTTTTTCAAAACTGCATTAGAGTGGTACCTTAGTATACCTTCGCTTTGGCATATGTTCAACTTGGTACACGTCCCATTTAGACGCAGCAACCTTTGCTTTGGCATATGTTCAACTTGGTACACGTCCCATTTAGACGCAGCAACCTTTGCTTGGTATATAACTTTTGTTTAGCAACCTTTGCTTGGTATATAACTTTTGTTTAGCAACCTTTGCTTGGTATATAACTTTTGTTTAGCAACCTTTGCTTGGTATATAACTTTTGTTTGGAATACGAATGTGTATGAGTCAAAATCAGTCACCACTGATCTTTGTTTACCTCTCTCGAAACAAAACCACTGATAGAGTTCCAAGTAGCAAAAAGAGACAGAGACAAAAAAAGAGAAGAAAAAAACACACAAGGTTGAGAATTTTTTTGGTCATGGAAAAAGAAAATCCCAACCTGCTCAGTCTGTGGTAACAGCCTAGCCATGCAGCCCTAAATCTTCAGGCTCAAACCTAAGCAAACCCCCCCCCCCCCCCCCCCCCCCCCGGCAAAAGTGGTAAATACAGGCAGTAATTTATTTTTTTCTGTTTTACAAATGAGATCTTTTACATTTAGTTTGCAGGGGGCATGCTAGCATAACAGCAAGATGATCACCTATTGGCACAACAAAGTAATCAGGGGTCAGATCCACAAAGAGATGGATGTTGTCAAAACTTGTCTTCGCTCCCAAGTCAAAACAGCCTAAAATAGGTACATGTAATGTCCTGGCAGGGTAACAGCAGCAGGTGTGATGAGTGCCAATCAGTCTATAAATACAGGTTCAACACTGTCTGCCAATCCACTAAGTATCAATCAGTCTATAAAATACAGGTCCAATACTATCTGCCTATCCACAGAAGTGCCAATCAGTCTATAAATACAGGTCCAACACTGTCTGCCTATCCACAGAAGTGCCAATCAGTCTATAAATACAGGTTCAACACTGTCTGCCTATCCACAGAATTGCCAATCAGCCTTTAAACTACTGGTCCAATGCTGTCTGCCTATCCACTAAGTGCCAATCAGTCTATAAATACAGGTCCAACACTGTCTGCCTATCCACTAAGTGCCAATCAGTCTATAGAAATACAGGTCAAATACTATCTGCCGATCAACTGAGTGCCAGTCAGCCTATAAAATACAGGTCCAACACTATCTGCCTATCCACAAAGTGCCAGTCAATCAAAAAAATACAGGTTCAACACTGTCTGCCTATCAACTGAGTGTCAATCAGTCTATAAAATACAGGTCCAACACTGTCTGCCTATTCACTAAGTGTCAATCAGTCTATAAAATACAGGTTCAACACTGTCTGCCAATCCACTGTGTGTCAATCAGTTTATAAAATACAGGTCCAACACTGTCTGCCAATCCACTGTGTGTCAATCAGTCTATAAAATACGTACAACACTGTCTGCCTATCCACTAAGTGTCAATCAGTCTATAAAATACTGGTCCAACACTGTCTGCCTATCCACTGTGTGTCAATCAGTCTATAACAGGTTCAACACTGTCTCCCCTACCCTTGTTTAAATCAGTCTAAAAATACAGGCAACCTGTTTTTTTTCCATGGTGCCAATCAGTCAAATAAAATCAGGCCAAACCCTTTTTCTGCCTCCCCACTGTGTTCAATCAGTTTTAAAAAAATTACAGGTCCAACATGTCTCCCTTCCACGTGTGAAAATCAGTCAAAAAAATACGGGTTCAACACTGTTGCAACCCCGGTTCAATCAGTTAAAAAACAGGCCCAAAGTCTGCTTGGGTGTAAAGAATAAAAAGGGGCCCTTACTTTAAATTTTTCATGTAAAAAAGGTATTTTTCCTGACCCGAACAAAAAAATGTTTTGGGAATGTTATTTGTTACTTTTCAGCTTCTTTTTTTTTTTCAAACTTCAAATTAGTTTCTCTACCTCTCTCCCTTAAAACTTTTTGCACGGCATTTTGAAAATTTAAACTCAGTTTTTTTTAGAAATTTTTTTTTTTTTTTT